GCGGAGCAGGGAGCCCGATGTGGGGCTCGATCCCAGGACCCTGGGATCATGACCTGAGCTGAAGGCAGACGCTCAACGACTGAGCCACCCAGGCGCCCCGGGAGTATGGCTTTAGAACCCTTGTTCTTAACTACTACCCCATACTGCCCATGCACCATACTGCAGAGGTGGTTTGGTGCACGATAAAAGAAGGAAGCTGGGCCCACCCACCTGGACCACATATGCTGCTGGCAACCCTGAAACTCAGAAGTGGTTGTCTTCTCTCTTGTTCAGTCCATCCACTGTGGACATGGGGACAAGACTGGTTTTCCCTGCAACACAGAGTGAGCAGTAGCCGCATCATTTAGGAGGAAGATCTTGGAAGCCTTTACTCAAAAGGGGTCTGGGGCAATTCTGCCTCATAGAGCTTCATTTCCCTGAGCAGGCTCATCTGCTTTTGCTGGGCTCTCCCTCCACAGTCCCCTTATTCAACCCTGAGAGGAGGCAGCTTTCATCCCATTTCACAGAGGGATAAACCCAGTGAGAAAAGTGGGGCAACATACCTTCAGGGCTTCCTGGTTCCCAGCCTGTACTATTAACCACACACCGGGATCCCTCCCCAGGCAAAGTCCCCAGAGGTTCTGCAGAAAACAGAGTGGGCAGAGAAGGAACCATCAGGAGCAGAGTGCAGGCCTTGCTTTGTCCTATGCAGCTCTATTGTTGTTTAGACAAATGGTAACGACAGTAACAGAGATGGTGTTAAGCTGAGGCAGGTGCAGTGGACCAACCTGGTCCAGCATACAGAGAAAACCCTCCAGGAGAGTAGATGTTTCAGTATGAAGAGGAAGTTACCCAGGTGACAGGTATCCAGAGCCTGGACTCTCCCCTAGGAAAAATCAGAGCCATAGATGGTTTTAGGCAAAAGAGAAATGAAGTCAGAGATGCATTTTAGAGTTTTCCTGGCTATAATATAGTGAAAGGTAGGGCAGCCAGACAAGAAGAAGAAGAAGAAGAAGAAAAAACATGGAGAGGGCTACTTGCTGCAGGTATGCTGGCCAGAAATGGTGAGAGCAGTGAAAAAAGGAATCTGTGCATTTGAAAGACATTAGGAATAGACTTGGCGGGCCTTAGTGAATTAATGGGTGGCAGCGGGGGGAGAGGAGTAATTAGGGATGACTTCTGGTGTCCTGGCTTAGGCAGCTGAGAGACTGGTGATGCCAACTGGTGATGCCATTTATGGAGACAGGGAATAGTGAAGGAGACACTGACTGGAAGTGAGAATGATAAAGTCAGCCGTGGACATGTGCATGCAAGGTGATGTCAAACGGACATGTTGAAGTTTGTGGCTACTTGGGTCTGGAACTCAGGGTCAAGGGCTGGGTTGGTAATCTAAGCTTTGAGAAGCACCTCTTGTGGAAACTGACTGGAACCTCGCAGTGGATAAGGCTGCCCAAGGAGAGTGAGTTGGTTTCTCTCATGGCCAAGGAAAAGAAAGTACAAAGGAGAATGGGGGGTGGGGAGACTAGAGATATAAGAGGAAATCCAGGAGAGGGGGGCAGTCATATAAGAAATAAGAGAAAGCAAGATAGTACAGCGGATACAAAGGCTGTTGAAAGGTCAATCTAGGTAGAGAATAGATCTTTGATGTCCTTAATGAAGGAAATTTCAGTGATGTGTCGAGGCAGCAATGAGAATTGCCAGGGACAGTGAAATACAGGAAAGGTGAAGCAAACGGAACCTTTAGAGCAGGCCACTTTCCCCAAGAAGTTTGGCTGTAAACGGGGAAAGGGAACGAAGGTGGTAGTTGGAGGGACAGAAGTTGGTGGGAGCTGAAGGCTCTCACTTTAATGGTTGCTCTTTCCTCAGTGAAGGAGGCACGTGGGAGAGCGAGGGGGATGTTGAAGAGTGGAAGATCTGGGGAGCATGAGGGAGATTTTTAGGTTGGTGTTAGGGAGAATTGGAGAGAGGCAAACATAGGACTGCTGGACAGTGTTGAGGGCCTGGTGGAGGCGGGCAATGTACATACATAGCACTGACCTGTGTCATTTTGAGATTTTTTTCCAGCAAGACTTATAGCTCAGGAACAGATTTAGAGAAGCCAGAAGATTGGATTTTTTTTTTCCCCAGAGTTGGAGCGCTGCCAGGCAGGTGTGACAGAAGAATAACCACACAATGGAGGTAAGCATATTGGGAAGAAGGTGATGGAAGTGATAGACCTTGGACTTCCAGCTGATGGGGAAGGAAATAAAGATTGGAGAGAGGTGATACATAGAACAAAGTAAAAGGCCAAGTGGACTGGAGGTTTCTGCAGGCCAGAGAACAATGGGCAGACTTCTGAGAACAGCCCAGGAGCAGTCAGAGATCAGGTGTCTGCATTTACAACTTCAGACTTGGAGCTCTTCTGCGGTGATACAGTAGTCCAGGGTGTGACCTTGGAAGTAGAGGGATGAAGAAGCCTGGAAGAGAAACCCTCTGGAGTCAGAATGGCCAGTGATTAGAGAGGAGGGCTAGTACTTCAGACATCACATCTCACCATCTCTAGCCCAATCCACTTGGTGCCTGAGCCACTCTAGCTGCACCAGTCAGAAGGCACCAAGCCCTATTATAAAGCACTCACATTGCAGGTTCTGAGATCCTGAGGCTCCACATTCAAAAGCTCTGGGTTTTTGTGGGTCTGGCACCAATTTTTCCTTCCCCATCCAAGCCAGAGCCTTGCTTTCATGACTTGTGAGAAGAACCTGTCTTCATTCACTTGTGAATGCACTTTGAGAAGGGAATCCTAGCCTCTTTCCTGGCCCATACAGTGAAGGGGTTTCAATCTCCTTTATCAATCAAATCCCATTGATTTTATCCTTTGTGCCTTTTATGACCTAGCTTCATGATCATTCATCACACAGGCCAACCCTGACTTAGTGTGGGAGGGGACTACACAAGGGTGTGAATACCAGGAGGCGGGGATCCCTGGAGGTCGTCTTGGACTCTGTCATAAGTCTCTTCTGTTTTCATTTTGCAATTTTTCTCTGGCTATGTAAAGCTTGCTTCAATTTCCACCCACGTGGTAATGACTTTCAAAAGTCTATGTCCAGCCCAGACCGGTACATGCAATGTATATTCATGTATACATTATATATTCAACTGCCTACATTGACATCCCAACCAGAAATCTCAAAGGTGCCTCTAATTCAGTTTGTCTAAGATGGAACTAGTGATCATTCTTCTTTCCAAAATCAGATCCTCTTCCAGTGTTCTTTATATCTATGAATCCCTCCACTAGCTACCCATTCACTCAAGGCTGAAGAGTGGCATTACACTTGAAGCTCCTTTGTTGCCCCTTCACATCCAAATCATCACCAAGTCTTGTTGATTTTGCTCCTGTGAGTCTCTGAAGACTGCCCAGTTCTCTTCCTCCTCACCATGGCTCCAGTCCAAGCCCAAGCTCTAGCATTATCCTCTTATGCCCAGATGGCCTCATTGGCTTCCCAGCTGGTCCTGTCAGAGCTTCCATGAGCCTTCTTCATTTTGATCTTAACTACAGCAGCCAAAGTGATTTTACAAAATGCAAGTTTGATCAGTTTGCCATTGTCCTAAACTTTCTACCGTGGCCTACAGGATCCTACATGTCTTAGCTACAGGTCTTAGCTCTTCTCTCCAGTGGCTCTCACCCTATTCCTTACTCTCTAAACTCTTGAGTTTTTTTCTTTCATGCCTTTTTTTTTTTTTTTGGTGGTAACATATATATAACATAACATTTACCATTTTAACCATTTTAATTTTATTTATTTATTAAAGATTTTATTTTTATTTTTTTAAAGATTTTATTTATTTGAGAGTGAGGGAGGGAGAGCCCGAATGGGAGGGAGGGGAAGAGGGAGAAGCAGACTCCCTGCTGGGCAGGGAGTCCGACCCTGGTATCCTTTCCAGGACCCTGGGATCATGACCTGAGCTGAAAGCAGATGCTTAACTGACTGAGCCACCCAGGCGCTCCCATTTTAACCATTTTTAAATGTACACTTCTGCGACATTTAAAATTTTACATTGTTGTGCAGCCATCCCTACCATTCATTTTTCAGAACTTTCTCATCTTCCCCAACTGAAATTCTGTGCCTGTTAAACACTAGCTTCTCATGTACTACCCTGTTTCTTTTCATCCCTCCAAGGAGACCTACTGCCTTCCTGTTCTTTATACATACTCTACCCTCTGTTTGAAACACTCTTCTTTACCGCTTTGCCTAGTTAGTTACTAGTCAGCTGGTGTCACATTCTCAAGAAAGCCTCCTCGGACTCCCAAGTTCAGACCATAAGCTCCTGTAACTTTTCTGAAAAACCTTGTTCCTCTCGGAAGAGCACATATCTCAGTTTGTATTTGAACACATGTGTAACTGTTAAGTTGTTTGATGATGGGTGCTCTCACTCTGCCCTCTCTTAACATAGTTTTTACTGTCAGGAGCTCCTCGTTGTGTCCCCAGTGCCTGGCATAGTGTCTGGCACACAGCAGGTGCTCACAATTTGTTGGACGAAAAATAGACGAATTCTGCTTCCCTGCATTGGGCCATCCATCTGTGATAACTGTGAGTGCCTCCATCCCCAGACTGGGGTGTCTCCCTCCGGAGTCGGACTTTAGCACCACATCCAGGGTGGCAGGAGGCTGTGCTCTTTGGTTTGCCTATCTCGAGCTTCCCGCCCAGCGGCGCAGACAGCGGAACCCACAGCTGGGGCGTGTCGCGCAGTTACGCGGAACCTCCCTGCCTCCGCACGTCAGTTGTGTACTCTACCCCGGCAGGAATCGAGCTAAGACCGAGAAGTCTCCTGGCACTTCCGGACGTGGGAATTAAAGGCTTGGACATCAAACCCACGCGGGTGAGAGCCAGGAGATGGGAAGAAAGTTGGGAGGCGCGCGCGCCCCTGCCACACCCCCTTTGCATTTGGGTCGCAGCGCTTTAAGAACCCGCTCATTCAGGACTCCTCCGGGACCGGGTGGGGAAAGCGCTCCAGGATTGGTCGGTTCGGGTGCGGGTGTTGCTTAGCAGCAGCGAATGGGGAATTCAACGCTTGCGCATGCGTATCATCGCCTACCTGCGCCTGGGCCGCCAGTGACCTGGGCCGGGTCCGCCCGGTGGGCCGAGGTTGCAGAGGAGGCGGCGGGTGGTACGGTGGCGAGGCGGCGCGACGGGCGGGTGCCGACTCCCGGAGGCCGCCGTCGGGGCGAGGTGAGGGCTCGGGGGCGGAGGCGGGCGCCGCGGCCCGTTAGCCGAAAGCAGGCGGGGTCGGGTGTGGCGCAGGGCGGGCCAGGAGATGGAGGCGGCCCCGGGCCCGCCCCGCCCTCAGGCCGGGCTTAGCCCCACCCGGTTTCGTGGGGCTTCCTGGAGTCATCTGTCCCCCTTTCTTCTCCCGGCTGCTCTCCAGACTCGAGGATAACCGAGGCGCGCGCCTGCAGGAACCCTAAGCTGACAGATGCGCGTCGAGCGCTGTTCCCAGTGGGAGGAGAAGGGGTGTGTCCAAATGAGAGCGGGGGCGATCGTTTCCTTGATTATCCACGAAGCCCCTGTCAGAGTACTGTTTAATTTTAGTAGCAAACTTTCCTTAGCATGCCGAAATTATACGACTTGGTTTACCCAATACTGGGTGCATTGGACCAGCTTTTCCGAACATCAGGTGTAGGAGGTGGTGGACATTTGTGTCCATGATAGGCTTACATCTAGACCTCCAGAGCCAGAAGGATAAAAGCACTCCGGGGAAAATTAGGTTTTTAGAAATTAGAGCCACAAAAGAATATTCTCAGTGGCGAAAAGTAATCGGTAAAATTTGTTACATGGTCAGAACAACAACAACAAAAAGCTCAGACTGATGGGTAAGATAATCTTAATTAAATTTTACAAAGGAGTTCATCCTGATAAGGGTAATTTTAGTAAAATTAAAATGTAAATAATTGGAAATGTATTAATATTGGTAAATATAATTAAATTGATATCATAGCGTTTGCTCTTGAAGATACATTTTAGACAATGATTGTTATAGCTCTAAGCGTTAATGTTTACAACACAGAAGACATCTTGGAGTCAGAAAGTTTTATTCTTAGAAGGAGCCTCAGAAACCAGCTGCATCCAAAAGGTGATTGATGGTCCCAGAGGAAAACTGACTTAATCCAAGTAACACAATGAGTAAGGAGCAATTGTAACAAGTGTAACCCTAGGCCTCTGTTCCTTCTATTAACAGGTCTCTGACTAGTTGAGTAGTAATGCTCTAGGAGAAAGAGAATAGCTGTAATCCCAAAGATTGGATTTAGAGAGGCAGAATAAAGTGAAAAGGTTACATAGGCTTTTGAATATTTTGAGTAAGGGAAATTTGGGTTTGAATCCTCATCTATCACTTATGTCTTTGGAGCTACAGTTTTCCCACCTGTCCAGTGTAGATTATGTCTACCTTGTAGATAGTTATGAGCATTAAATAACATTATCAGTTTAAAAGTTCCTATCACAGTGCCTCGCATGTAATATTAGCTGCTATCAAGTTCAGTCCCGTACTCCTCTTAACTCCTATCAAAGAGTTGACCTCTTACCCCCCCCCACAAACACTATCCCCAATCAACATGGAACAAAGGAGCCTGAGTGATCTACAAATTGGGTAACCAGTTCTCAAGTCTTGTGGCTGAAGATTAATTCAGTAAGGGTGACATAACTCAATATTGTTTTCTGTATTGTATATTCGAGGAGTGGATAATATGCCTTATGGTGAAGACTTTCTTGAATATTTGAGTGCCAAATGAAACTTGTTTTGCTTGTTTATGTTACTCTTTTGCAAGGCCTGGTCATGGCCTGGTCATTTAATGCTGTTTTTCTCTCATGTTTTCTTTCTCTCTCTCTCTTTTGGAGGGAGGAGGGGGAGGAGTATATGTGGTAGGGATTTGGGAGAGGGCTAAGTGTAGGGGGGGAAGGAAAAAAACCAGTGGGAACAAGGGTGGCCTCCAGGTAGGCACAAAGTCTTTGCTGGTAGAATAGGGATAATCTATGACATGAGCAGTTTATAAATAGATGCTGAGAAGAGGATTTAGGAAATGGGGGAGGTAGATTAAGATATAATTTTTATAAAGCCTAATAGTAACTTGGGTGCTATATATTTGATTACTAATTCAGTTTCTACTTTAAAAAAATTCTATTTATATAAATATTTATATAAAAATTTATATATTACCTATATATAATATATACCTAGAAATGTATTGTGGAACGGTGCTCAAAATATAGATCAGAATATGGCAAGATCTGCAAAACCGCATTTCTTGTCTCAGTGGGCAAAAATAAGGCAGCTCTTAGGTCATTCATTCATTTGCTTAAGAGTTTTTACTGAGGCCTTCTTCATGTGTGCCAGGCATGGTGTCAGGTTATGAGGCCTACTGGCCTGTAGAAGGAGCTGGGAAGACCTGGAAGACAGACTAGGGTCTCTGTGTGGGTACTCTGAGGGTGCTTTTGTCCTTGTATAATTGATAATATTTTTTTCTCTAATTGTGGCATGATTTTCCAGATTTATACCACTACTTCTTGTTTTTTAAACTGAATACTAGTTATCTGCAAACAGCTTTTATTTTAATTAGTTCTGAGATTAGAGCACCTTCCAGTTTGGAAATGTCATGTAGTTATGGAGCTGCTCACTATAAAACATGTTTTTCAACATTCAAGCACAAATCATTGAAACTACAGTTAATTAGGGGCGCCTGGGTGGCTCAGTCGTTGGGTGTCTGCCTTCGGCTCAGGTCATGATCCCAGGGTCCTGGGATCAAGCCCCGCATCGGGCTCCCTGCTCGACGGGAAGCCTGCTTCTCCCTCTCCCGCTCCCCCTGCTTGTGTTCCCTCTCTCACTATGTCTCTCTGTGTCAAATAAATGAATAAAATCTTAAAAAAAAAAAAAAAGAAACTACAGTTAATTAGCAGAAGAGATTATTGATCTACTTATAGAGATATTTAAAAGTGACACAAACATAAAAAGCAGGTAGGAGCATCATTTAAGTAAGTGGTATAAACACTTTAAGTTAATCCTTTTTTTTCAGATTTTATTTAAAAGTAATTATAAGAAGTTGCCAAGATAGTATAGAGAGGTCCCATATACCCTTTACCTAGTTTCCCCCATTGGTTACATCTTACATAATAAGTATAGTACAATGTCAAATCTAGGAAATTAACATCGATATAAAGTGTATATAGTTCCATGCCATTTTACCACAGTGTAGGTTCCTATAACCACCATCACAGTCAAGATACAAAATTGTTGCATTACCACAAAGATCTTCCTCTTGTTGTCCTTTCTAGTCACACCCATTCCCCTCCTCCCCACCATCCCTAACTCTTGGCAACCACTAATCATTTCTCCATCTCTAATTTTGTCATTTTGAGAATGTTACATAAAAGGATTCCTATGGTACGTGACCTTTTGAGATTGGGTTTTTTTCCTTCAACACAGTGCTTTTGAGATCCATCCCAGTTGTTTTGAGTTTCAATAGTTCCTTTCTTTTTACTACTGAGTAGTATTCCATGATATGAATGTACTGTTATTTTTTTTTTTAACCATTCACAATTTGTAGGATATTTGGTTGTTTCCAGTTCTTGGCTGTTATAAATAAAGCTGTTAAGAACAATTGTACACAGTTTTTGTGTGGACATAAATTTTCATTTCTGAGATAAATGCCCAGGAGTGTGATTGATAGATCATATGTTAATTGCATGTTTAGTTTTATAAAGACACTGCCAAACTACTTTCCCGAGTGACTCTACCATTTTATAGTCTTACCAGTAAAGTATGAGAGAGCCGGTTTCTATGCACACCTTTCCAGCATTTGATATTTTCACTTTAAAAACTTTTAGCTGTTCTCATAGGTATGTAGTATTGTCTCATTGTGATCTTAAGTTACTTTTCCCTTAATTGCTAGTGATGCTGAACATCTTTTCCTGTGCTTATTTGCCATCCATGTATTCTTTTTGGTGAAATGTCTGTTCATGTACTTTGCCCATTTATAAACCAATGATATGTCGTTTATAAAATATTTTCTCCCAGTCTCTGAATTGTCCTTTCATCCTTTTCACATGAGGTTTTGCAGATTGAATATTTTTAATTTTGACGAACTCCAATTTACTGATTTTTCTTTTGTGGATTATGCTTTTGGTATCATGTCTAAGAACTCTTCGTCAAGTCCTGAAGATTTCCTCGTGTATTTTCTTCCATTTTTATAGTCTTACTTTTTAGATTTACATTTATGACACATTTTGAGTTGATTTTTATGTAAGGTGTGAGGTTTAGGTCAGGAATTTTTTTTCCCCTGTAAATATCCATTGCTTCAGCACCAACTATTGAAAAAACTATCCTCCCTCCATTGAATTGCTTTTGCACCATTGTCAAAAACCATTTGGCTGTACTTCTGTAGGTCTATTTCTATGTTCTCTATTCTGTTCTCTTGATCTTTGTGTCTATTCCTCTGCCAATAGCACACAATCTTGACTAGTGTAGCTATAGAATAAGTCTTGAAATAGGATAGCATGGTTCCTTCCACTTTATTCTTTTTCAAAGTTGTTTTAGCTATTTAAGTTTCTTTGCCTTCCCACACAAAATTTTTTTTTTTAAAGATTTTATTTATTTGAGACACAGATACAGAAAGAGAGAGAGAGAGCATGAGCAGGGGGAGAGGCAGAGGGAGAGGGAGAAGCAGGCTCCCCACCGAGCAGGGAGCCTGATGCGGGGCTCGATCCCAGGACCCTGGGATCATGACCTGAGCCAAAGGCAGACGCTCAACGACTGAGCCACCCAGGCGCCCCTTCCCACATAAATTTTAGAATAGTTTTATCTATCTTTACAAACTGTCATTCTGATATTTT